CCCTTTATGTCACTCATTATTTATATGGCTGCTTTCTTCTCTTTCCTGTCTTAGTTTAAATTTCATTGCCTTAGGGGCGCTTGGGTGGCTCAGTCGGTTAAGCGTCCGACTTCGGCTCAGGTCATGATCTCACAGTTCGTGGGTTCGAGCCCCACGTCGGGCTCTGTGCTCACAGCTAGCTCAGAGCCTGGAGCCTGCTTCTGATTCTGTGTCTCCCTCTCTCTCTGACCCTCCCCTGCTCACGCTGTCACTCTCTCTCTCTCAAACATAAATAAAACATTAAAAAAAATTTTTAAATGTCATTGCCATAAAGAGGTCTTCTCTTGACCATCCTGGCTAACTGGGATTTCCCTGTCCATTTTCTTTATTACTAGCTGAACGTTATCTATGCTTAATATTTGTTTATGTGTCCATTTTCCTTCTCCTTCACCAGATAGTTCACTCCTGTGGAGCCCAAAACTTTTATGTATGACTGCTTAAATGGATCAAGCCCATAGAGGGTGCTTAGTAAATGATTGTCAGTAAATGAATGGATGAGACAAAATGAACACACACATATCCAGTCATGTCATTTTACCTTCCCTTTGCCTTTTGGCTCAAGTTTTTACTCTTGTATGGTTTCTTTACTGTCTTCTTGTAAGTAATATTATCCTTAGTGTTGACTGGCAAGCAAGTGATAGCATTGTTCTTTATCATGATGTAGAGGGACCTGAGGGTTTGGGAATACATTTTCTGCAAAAATGTATTCTTTTTGCTCCCTCCAGGTCCCCCATGTAGTTTCCATCCTTTGGTCCCTATTCCTTTGCATTCATGTTATTTAATTGGATTTTCTAAGCAGCTCTTAAGGAAGGTCATATGATTTTGATTTTCTGAGAAAACTGAGGTTCCATAGGTACTGACCAAAGGTCAATAAAGCAATAAAGTCTCAGATCCACAGTTTAAAACCGGCTCAGTAAAATGTGAACCTCATTCTTTCTCTTTTCACCCTATCACTCTGCCTCTTGTGATATGATAAAATAGGGATTTTACCTGCATTAAATGTGTTGCAGAGGTGGGGGAAGGCCATTGAGCTCACTGGGTATCTTAGGGATCAGGAAGTTAGTTACTGTGGACAGAAATTCCTGGAAGAAAACCTTGGCACTTATACAACTAGTCCAGACTGAACACCATGGTCTGTGGGGCCCAGGGTTCATTCATTCTTTCTTCTGCACAGTATTGTTCCTATTGATACTTTGCTAATGTAACAACGGAAGAATATAGGATCATCAGCTACATAACAATTCACCTCTCAAAATTTTCTCAATAAATTACACAGCACTGTTTTCTGATCTGTCCTTATTCTTTCTATATTGTTAGTTTTGATTAGGTAGTCAGGAAAATACTACTTTCTGTCATATTTTATAAACCTGTTTTTTTAACTGCAAATAGTTAAATCTTCCATGTTAATACCGTTCTAATGGCGGTGCTTTTGTTTTTGTTTCCTTCTAGTCTTTGTCCACATGCAGTTGAAACTTAAAAAATGTGGGGGTAGGGATGCTGACCCCACGCATAGTCAAAAATCCATGTATAGCTTTGATTCTCCCAAAATGTAACTATTAATAGCCTACCGTTGACTGGAAACCTTACTCAAAACATAAACAGTCAATTGACCCATCTTTTGTATGTTATATGCATTATATGCTGTATTCTTATACTAAAGTAAGCTAGAGAATAGAAGATGTTATTAAGAAAATCATAAAGAAGAGAAAATGAATCTATGATACTGTACTGTATTTAAAAAGTCTACATATCCCATGTTGTTCAAACATCAACTGCATTTTGAAATATATATTCAGTCTTTACATGTTTCCATACCTTATGGTGATAGCATTTTCTTCTGCTTTTACATTTAACATTTGCTTGGCTCTAGCAATAAAAAAATCAGTAGATAATGTTTTTCAAAGTTTAAGGTACAATATTTCTGATTCTTACTTGTTTTCTAGTTTCAAGCTGTGGTAAAATGAAGATTTAATGGACTGTTACTAAAATGGACTAATAACTTTTTTAAGTTTAAGTTTTTATTTTAATTCCAGTTAGTCAACAGTGTGATATTAGTTTCAGGTGTACAATATAATAATTCAACACGACCATACATCACCCTGTGCTCCTCATGACAAGTATACTCCTTAATCCCCATCACCTATTTAACCCATGCCTTCATCCCCCTCCCCTCTGGTAGCCATCAGTTTGTTTTCTATAATTAAGAGTCTGTTTCTTGTTTGTCTACCTCTCTCTCTCTCTCTTATTTTTTCACTTTGCTTGTTTTGTTTCTTAAATTCTACATATGAGTGAAGTCATATAATACTTGTCTTTCTCTGACTGACTTAGTTTGCTTAGCATTATACTGTTTAGCTCCATCCATGTTGTTGCAAGTGGCAAGATTTCATTATTTTTTGACTGAATAATATTCCTGTATAATATTTCTGTGTTTCATGAGTGAATAATATTCCCATGTATGTGCGTGTATACACACACACAACACACACATGTAATATATAATATACATATACATCACATCTTCTTTATTCACTAAAATGAATAACTTATGTAGATATAATAAAACTTGCCAAAGAAGTGGATGATCTTCTGGTGGTACTCATCTTCTAAAAGAAAAAAAAATTCTAAAAAAAGCCTCTATACATGTTATCTAAGGATGTAGAAGACAGTTGAATACAGAAGTGAACTGCAATCTAGAAATTATTACTTAACAGGCTATTACTTTTTATTTTTGAAGTATATGTAGACACAGAATCATGTATGTCTACCTAGAAATGTAGAAGGAACCCTTAAAATATAAAGGGCAGAAAATTAATAGGCAACCAACGGAATGGGAAAAGATAGTTGCAAATGACATATCAGATAAAGGGTTAATATCCAGAATCTATAAGGAACTCACCAAACTACACGCCCGAAAAACAAACAACCCAGTGAAGAAATGGGCAGAAGATATGAACAGACACTTCTCCAAAGAGGACATCCAGATGGCCGACAGACACATGAAACGATGCTCAGCATCCCTCCTCATCAGGGAAATACAAATCAAAACCACACTGAGATACCACCTCACGCCAGTCAGAGTGGCTAAAATGAGCAAATCAGAGAACTCTAGATGCTGGCGAGGATGTGGAGAAACGGGAACCCTCTTACACTGTTGGTGGGAATGTAAACTGGTACAGCCCCTCTGGAGAACAGTGTGGAGGTTCCTCAGGAAACTAACAATAGAACTCCCCTATGACCCAGCAATAGCCCTGCTAGGAATTTACCCAAGGGATACAGAAATGCTGAGGCATAGGAGCACATGGACCCCAATGTTCATAGCAGCACTCTCCACAATAGCTAAAACATGGAAAGAGCCTAAGTGTCCATCAACAGACGAATGGATCAAGAAGATGTGGTTTATCTATACCATGGAATACTACATGGCAATGAGAAACAATGAAATCTGGCCATGTGTAGCAACATGGATGGACCTTGAGGGTGTTATGCTGAGCGAAATAAGTCAGGCAGAGAAGGACAAATATCATATGTGTGCACGTATAGGAGGACTAGGAGGAACTTAACAGAGGACCAACCGGGAGAAGAAGGGGGGAAATGGTGGGGGAAAGGGAGAGAGGCAAACCATGAGAGACTCTTGAATGCTGACAAAAACTGAGGACTGATGGATGTGGGGGGGAGGAGGGGATGGGCATGGAGGAGGACACTTGTGGGGATGAGCACTGAGTGTTATGTGGAAACTAATTTGACACTAAACTATCTGTAAAAAAAAATTAAAAATTAAAAATTAAAAAAATATAAAGGGCATTTTATTACTTATAGATGTACTTTTCCTTTAATAAAACATGCTAATTTGCTTGACATTTATTTACACAAATGCATATAATAACTTCTACATTTGTTCTTGTCAAACGTAGTATTTCAGTTTAATTATGATTAGAGACTTTATTTAAATCATGAAAAATCACATTCCTCATCTGTTGATAATGCCAACCAACGTATAAAGCCATCTACATCAGCACTGTTCATTTATTACACTAATTTTCCAGAATATATAAATTCATTTTAAAAGTTCTCCCTGAAAAATTATGATGAAGAGGTAGCTTTTTAATGCCCAAAGTTCTCATCTGGACTAGAATAGAGTTAGGATGAGATTTTAGGGCGTAGAACTGTGAGCTTGTTTTAAATCTCATGTTATCCAAATTACCTTCATAACTATGCAGGCATTATTTCTGTGAGGGTTCAGGGAATATTCGGAGATAAGAGTTTCTTCTTTTAACTTTATTAACCATTTGCATTACACTGGGCTGAATTGTGCATTCCTTCCCCCCGCCCCCAACACCCCGCCCTGAAAACATGACTAATGTAACATGTAAATGTGACCTTGTTTGGAATAAAGGTCTTTGTAGCTGTAATTCAGGTAAGGATCTCAAGATGAAGTCATTCTGAGTTAGGGTGGGCCCTAAATCTTGAATGTCCTTTGAAGAGACAGAAAGTGAGCAATGCGTAAAGACAGAGGGAAGTAGACCATCTGAAGGCAGAGACACATACTGTAGCTAGCTATATTGCCATATGCCACGGAACAGCAGGGGACACGAGAAACTGAAGCAGCAAAGACAGATTCTTCCCTAGAACCTTCGTAGGGGTTGTGGCCCCGCCAACAGTTTGAAGACTTCTGCCCTCCAAAACTGTGAAAACACATGTCTGTCATTTTAAGCCACCGCATTTGTGGTAATTTATTGCGGCAACCCTAGGAAAGGAATACAGGTATTCGTTTGATACTAAATGCAGGTTTTGAATTATTTTAAATGTCATTCTGTATCTATTCTGTGTTTAGATAAGTACTTTTCTTTGAAGTATATTACAGACTGAATAACGGTCGCTAACACCAAAAAACCAACCTCATATACCTCATATTCCATTTATCTCATAAAGTGACTGCTCTACCTTTATTTTATCTACTGTAGATGTGGCCGGTGGTTATTCATCTTCCATGCTTGATGCGATCCGAAGAGCAATGATGGTTTCCAATATACTTTTAATTAATAAGATAAATGAGAAAAGCCTCACCCTCAAAGAAGTCTTCAGACTCGCTACTCTTGGAGGCAGTCAAGGTAATGACCATTTTCTTTCTTTCTTGAACAGTAGACAGCTGTGCTGATCCGTGTCCTTGGAAGCAGTGTGAAGGCACAGGAGTGTCTCATCGGCAGGCATCCCATACTCAGGACTGTTGCATCTCATATAACATATCCCACACTTAGCAGGTGACGTTCAGACATGTGATGGAGGTGTCATTTCTTCAGCAAGTCCCGTGTCTTTGACAAAAGACATGTTCGACACACAATTATAGTAATTGCTTTAATGGATATTTGCAATGGCCACATGTATGTGATTTCTTTAAAATAATCAGTTCTTTTTCCCCACTGAGTCAAGTAACATGCTCTCTATTGGCCTGAGTGATGATAATACTATGAATAATAATAGTAAAAATAATAGCCAAGAGTTGCTGAACCGTTACCAGATGACAGGCACTATGCAACATGCTTTATGCATGTCGTTCCTCTATCCTCACAATCACTGCTACGAATTCCACCTACCAGTGAGCTCAGGTATCTGAGTGAGGCATACACCACCATCAAGCTACAGACTGTCATGATTTGAATCCAGATCATGTGATACCAGAGTGCAGGTTCTTAGCCTTCCACTGTGATATCTTCCTCTATCAACCTTAGAAATGGACGATGATAGTAGCTGAGAGTATCCTGGGAAGAGAACTTTCTGGCTCTTCTTTGAACGTTTGGGACTATGATGAATGCCATAAAAACATTTTTTAAAAAACCAAACAAGTAGAGGTCATGCTCTTTGCATTTCTCTAAGTCTTATGATTTCATTTTCTAAAGTTCCAACTTTTTAAAAAAAATTTTAATGTTTCTTTGTTTTTGAGAGAGACAGAGCGTGAGCAAGGGACAGGCAGAGAGATAGATAGGGAGACACAGAATCCGAAGCAGGCTCCAGGCTCTGAGCTATCAGCACAGAGGCCAACACGGGGCTCAAACTCACAGACTCCGAGATCATGACCTGAGCTGAAGTCGGACACTTAAACTACTGAGCCACCAGGCGCCCTAGAAAGTTATAAGTTTTAAATCCCTCATTTTAAAAAACAAGTGTGACACTTCTTACCGCCCACCCCCACTGCATTGGTGCATCTGAGTTTGTATGGTTGGCCTGCCATCTTACTTTCAGGGTGCAAACGGGTTGTACTTAAATGGTGCTTTTTTTATTCTAGACTCTCTGTGAGGTGCTTCATCAGGATCCTGTATGTGATCAAGCTGGTATGGGGTACTTATCAAATCCTTGTCTGCCTTGGCTATCTAGCTTTTAAATCTATTTTCTGGGCCACTGATCTCCCTGTGATGAAATTTCTCCTTAACTTGTGTCTCTATGAGGTTAGGAGTGAAATGAGATGAACAGATCCCTCTTTAAACTGTGGCATCTTCCCAGCTTGCCATGGCCTTTACACTCACTCTCAAGATCAGGATGTGCATAAATCACCTTCATAGAGACGTTTGCTCCAAAGGCCGCAAAACCCCATTTCCTGAAATGTATCTGAGTTGCTTACCAGCCCTGCTGGGCCTCTCTGCAATGATCTGGATTTAGACCAGTTTACAAATTTATGAAAGCATTGTGTCTTTTTTGGTTAGTTCATGCCTGACTTTCCAGGTTCTCACAGTTAGCTCAGTTAGTTTATATGCCATCGCACTCTGGCACATGAACCCAGTTCTCTGGCCTATTAAACACACAACCGTTTTATGTTGAGTACAGTCCTTAAAAACTCGTAGTTGTTATGCTTCTCTGTCAAAGGCAGAAAGTAGATTGTAATCAGTAAAGGAGGAGAGAATTTCTGCTGACTTTCTATTACTTTTTGGTCTTTCCCCACCCAGTTAGTAGAAGTCACCTAACTGCCTTTAACCTTTTCTAATTCTTTTTACAACCCTGTCTTCCTCTAAGAATTCTTTAGCTACGCACTCTTTTTCTTTTTTGAGGATAAAGGAAATGCCCTTTAAATAATCTTTTAAGAACAAGTAGGATTTCTAAATAGGTGCTTAGACAATTGCCAAAAGACTACCGGATATCCATACATAGAGCTACAACGTACCAGATATTGTCTAACAGAGATAGGTAATCCAGTATTTTCACATCAGACTCTATTCTGCCTGTGACAGAATACAACCACTACATGTGAAAATTCACATAAATAATGCTTCCATTTGGCACTTTGGTGTACACTTTTTTTTAACTTTTTATTTTTTTTATTTTTATTTTTTTACAAATAGTTTATTGTCAAGTTGGTTTCCATATAACACCCAGTGCTCATCCCCACAAGTGCCCCCCTCCATGCCCATCCCCCCCTCATTTTAAATTACAGGCTTTAAGGAGCTTTAGACTTAATACTTTTATTGACTAGGAAAGCCAACCGCTCCCAACTTCTGAAACTAAATCATAAGTGGCAGATGTTCTTCCTTGACATCCAATATTCATGGAACATGAATTCTAGCTTTGAGATGGATCAAGTCAATAGGTGTTATCGACCCATGCCTGTTTTAGAAAACAATTCTTCTCCGGCAACCAGAAAGCCTTTGAGGTTACGAGAAATTGGTCTGCTTTCAAAAGTGTTGGGACTCTTGAGTTATTAGGACCTATTTACTTTCAGAAATGAATTTTCTCTAGTGAGAGGATGTAAACTAAGAAACTTTTGAGGGATATGCCTGCATTCACAAATATGCAAAAGGATACTTATTTTTTATTGACTCGAGGTTCATTTCACTGTCATGAAAATAGATCCAGTCAGCTGTTTTCGAAACAAAAAGAGCAAGGGAAAGAGCTGGAATGTGAGGGGAGAACGAGAGGGAAGGAGAAGAAAGATATTATGTCAATTGTCATGTTTGTTTGAGGGATGAAAGGAAATCATAGACCAGCTGGACCGTGAAGGGCACTGACAGAGCTGAAATAGACCGACGCCATCTGAATCATAGATCGTGGTGAAGAGGGGAACCATCTTTATTCTTGGATTTTGCTTTCCCTGAGCTTATTCTGCTCTCTGTATGTCACAGTTTTAGGATCGGTTGGAATGAGAGAGCATTTCTGCTTCACATTAAGATAACTAACTTTTTCTAGTGATACGTTGACAGATTCTGTCCTTGCAAACTGGGACATTTTCACCCACCTGTTGGCTCCAAAGACTGACTGTTTATTCATTTATTCCACCTTGTAGCCCTGGGGCTGGATAAAGAGATTGGAAACTTTGAAGTGGGCAAGGAATTCGATGCCCTCCTGATCAACCCCAAAGCGTCTGACTCTCCCATTGACTTATTTGCTGGGGATTTTGTTGGTGATTCGCTTGAAGTAAGTAAAAGAAATTTCATCAAAAGGCATAGATTTCATGAAGTGGTCACAATATCTTCCCTATAGAAAAAAAGATAGAAACTGAAACTTTTCATGGAATGCAGAGGATCTTAAAAGGGGAGTTAGATCCTTTTCAACGGTTTATAATTTGCCAACACAGTGCTAATAATGGTACTGACAGAAATTTGTATCTTGAAGATATTTGCATATTTGAATGTATTTGACTATAGCTATTCCTTCTTGAACACTTGCTATATGCTAGGTAGCAAGGGATTAAGTACTTTCATGTATCATTATTGATTAACCATTAGAATGATTCTTATGACACGCAAGTGCTATTAATATCTCTGTTACTCACAAGGGCAGTGAGGCCTAAGGGAAATTAATTGATTTACCTAAAGACTCCTAGATAGTAATTAGTAATTAGTAGACAGACTTTGGATTCAAGCCCAGGAGTTTCTGACTTCCAGAGTCTGGGCTCTTGACCACAATGCTACATTTATTTTCTTAACTTTATAAGAAAAAGAATGTTATTACTTTGTTCCTTACTTTAAAAGGTTTTTCTATGTCTAAACTGGTTCTTCCTAACAACTTTTTATAATACTGAGTTTTTCTGAAACATAATTAACTATTACTGATGTGATGAGGGCCGGGAACTAAGGATCAAGAAAGAATTCTTGAGACATTTTTTGGTGCAAAAGGGTGTTTTTATTGAAGTACGGAGACAGGACCCATGAGCTGCACTAGGATTGTGAGGAACAATTGATTATATACTTTTAAGTGGTGGTGGTGGTGGGAGGGTGGTAAAGACAAAGGAAGTTTCTAGAAGGTATTTTAATATGTTAAAGAAGACTCATAGGATCCTGAGGTCTTGGCTATTGTTAAGGGAGGTTGTATTTGACCTCTAGAAAAATGTTAACATCAAGTCAGTTGTGAGTTCCTTGAGGAATGCCAATGAGCTGCAAGTTGTAAGGAAATTTAATTCTATCTGCATTTCTTTTGCATTTGTTCGCCTCAACACTACTATTTATAAGTCGATAGGCTTGTGAGAGTAAGTAGGACATTCTTTGTAACATGTCAAAGTTTTTAGAAGATGCCAGATTGCTTGAAGGTGGTACCATTTGTTATGTTCATATTATTTATTTTTTTTACTACTTCATTAAAGTAAATTTGTGGGAATAAGGCTCAGTCCCATTCACCCACTTTTCTTATACACCTCTTAAAATATTTGAATTTTTTATTAAATTAATTTCTTTAATTTATGTAACATTTTTCTCTGAAGATTTAAATATCACATGCCAAGAACTTTTACATAATTGGTAAACATTTGTTAATAGCCAGTATTATTTTTTAAGCAAAAGACCATTTCTTTTTCATTAGTAGAAGTAGATTTTGCCATTGAGAAATACACTTATATGTCTGCACTTTGCCAACCCCTACTGGCCATGAATTTACTTTTCTAAATGCACAGAATATTTTCTTCTTATTACTATTTTATTTTCTATTTTAGGCTATTATCCAGAAGTTCCTCTATGTAGGTAGGTGGATATATGTCTCTGTGGGAAATAAAATCTTTGCTGGTCTCTTTCTTGGGTATGGCTCCCAGATTTGTGGCACCATAAGTTAAACCCTATGTGGGACCATTTTTTTTGGTTTATTATTTTACTTTAATATTCCTCAGCATGAAGCCCATGTAAGGCATACTATTTAAAGGCACTATTTGAAATGCATGTGATTGGGGCGCCTGGGTGGTTCAGTTGGTTAAGCGTCTGACTTCGGCTCAGGTCATGATCTCACGGTTCATGGATTCAAGCCCTGCATCGGGCTCTGTGCTAACAGCTAGCTCAGAGCCTGGAGCCTGCTTCTGATTCTGTGTCTCCCTCTCTCTCTGACTCTCCCCTGCTCATGCTGTCTCCCTCTCTCTCTCAGAAATAAATAAAACATTAAAAAAAAAAAATGAAATGCATGTGAACCTCTGCAGAGGCCCAGGGGAAGGGGCCACCCTGTCTCTTCCTCCTATATTCACTCTGTACCCCCCCAGCCTTCCCTACCACGGTCGTATTTGTGATGTTTGTGGTGGAGTCTCACTGCACACGGTTCTTTGTGTTTTGTTTTGTTTTCATGTACTCACATTCCATTCCATTCACTGAGAGAGAGAAATAGACAGTACGAATGACTCTACCTTGCCTCCTGCTTGGTCCACTGAGCTCTGAGTCCTGGAAGAACCTGAGTTGGGAGAGATGCAGGTGCTATTTCTTGAGCTTTCTACCTGCAGACCCTCCATCTCACCACGCAGAGTATGATTCTGAGGTGTAAAGAGAAGTATTTCCCTTATAGCTGGTGCTGGAAATGCAAACCACTCCAGCTGAAAGGGAAAGGACCCAGCTTCCTGTGATGTCTGCCTTCGGTGCAGGATTCCGACCCTAATCCTCAAATTTGATGCATCGCCTTCCCTTGGCCACGTCCCCTTGTCTAGAGGATAAATAATCCGAGAGAAAAAAGGCAGCTTTGTGTGTTTTCTCTCAAAGAAGTGGAATTTGTTTATAAAAACCCTCCCAGTGGCCATTAAAATACTTCCTGACCTAAAAGCACTTTATGAATGATTCCTCCATTTTTCTTTCAGGAGATGACCGAAATATTGATGAAGTTTACGTGGGCGGAAAGCAGGTGGTACCCTTTTCAAGCTCAGTGTAAGACCCTTGGCATCTACCAGCTCTGGGATCACACGGTTCTGCGTCTCCCTTTTCCCTGGGCAGAGTTAGAAAGTCAAAAAATAGTATCTTGTTCTTGGGATGACTATCTCTTTCTGTGTCTAGTTACAGTATTCACTTGACAAATCATTGAAGGAAGTCGTGCTAATTCTCAACTTTCTGGTTGGGAGGATTCAAAATTTCTCCCTTTTGAGCTGTTCGGATTTACTTTAAGCTCAAACATAAGGGAATGTTCTTCCTGATGGTGTTCTGACTATGGGATTTAAGTAAAATCAGTTCATATTTGGAAATGTGGAGAGAAAAGACATTCCTATAAGGTTAGATATTTTGAGCTAATAAATGTGAAAAGTAGACATGGAGAATGACCCAGCGAATCTATTTTTATGAGGGAGAAAAAGTGAGACTATGAGCAAACATTGGCACATCAATTCAGATTATGATTGAAAATTAAATGCTGAGCATATTAATTTCAGAAGAGAACTTGTTGAATCTTAAAATGTTTTTCTAGATTGACCTTGTGTTCTGGAAATTTGCACTTAATGGAATTTGCATTTCAGATATTATTGTTGTGCTTTGCCTTCTTTGGACATGAAATGTCAGAAATTGAATGCCACATGCTTCCTCAGTACAGTTCTGTGCTTCAAAGTGTTTGACAGAGATTGGGTGGTAAAGATTTAAAGTCTCTTAGGAATATTATTCATATAACTACATGGCATAAATAGTGGTATTTTTCTGTACTTCAAAATCACCTTAATGTATAACTACGTGATGCTATTATCGCTTCTGTGTTCTTAGAAGAGAAACAAATTCCATAGTCCACACTATTCTGTAGACTGGTCTTCATAAACTGGGGTAAGTGCTAGGCAGCAAGGATCTGTCATTACTAAAAGGAAGGGTTCCACTGCAATGACGTATTCTCACCAAGAGTTATGCCATAGCTGCTGGAAATTTCAAACTCAGATATCAGTCTGTTAGAGCTTTAAAATGAAGGACAAATTCAATGAAAACTATTGTTAAAAATCTTTACATCCTGCTTATCGAAAGTACTCTGTTTTTCAATTTTATCCTATTGTCTTTTTAATTCAAATAATTTTCAGGACATAAGAATTTTACGATAATGAAACTATGTAGATGTTCCCCTGATGTCTATACTAATAGAACTTAATCTGTACTAGACATCTAGGAACATGAAACAAAGCAAAGAGTATTGTTATGCCTCCCAGCTCTTACAGTGTGCTTTCCCATAGCCTACAATTAAAAACAAATTGACTTTATGATAAACCCTTAAGAAGTATGGATGTGAGTGTCATTTAAATACCACATTTTTCTCATTTAATTACAAATACTATAAACCAATGTGGAAGAGGAATAGATTTTCTTAATATAGCACTCATGCCTAGGTCTTAACTGTGACACTTTATTATTTACTTTAGAGAGAGAACTTTATGTAATATAATATAGCTAACTTCCTTTTTATAGAACTAAGAACAATATTCCCCCTCTTGTGGTATAATTTATTCTCACATAGTTATGCTAAATCAGCAGTAATTTGCCTACTTTTTTATCTTGTTTTTGTTTTCCTGGTGGAAACTTTTAGATTCGACTGCGTATGCACAACACCGACTGATCTTATTTTTATTTTTTTTTAAGAACTTTTCTTATTTGAGGACAGGTGACACACAATTTGATCTTATTAAGACAACAACAGAGTTTGTGTTGTGGGATATAAAGTAACTCAGTAAATTCAGTTTCTGGTGTCAATCTCCATATTCCCAGAATTCCTCATACCTGAGCCATGTCAAAAAGGCCCCGCCGATTTTCTCCCCGTTTTCTCTGTAGTGCTGATTGAGTGTTTCCCGCTCTGTCTCCCAGTCCCTGCCAAAGGAACATGGTTACCTGGTGTCTAACCGACAGGGGCGGGCTTAAGAACTTGGATAAGATATGCAAGATCCACTAATAGGCAGCAGTTAGCGCAGCCTTTGCAAGATCCTACACTTCCTTAAGGATGTACCTTTTGATACTGATGTACATTTTGATGTACCTTTTGATGTTGAACATCAGTTTTCATTTAGACTAAGGATTCGTACACAGTGTATATAAGTAAGTGCAGAATCAGCAACAAGTAGAATGGCTCTCTACAACCGACCCGTCGAACATTAAATTTAACCCAGGTAGGATGTGAAGACCTTACTGTCTTTTCCAGTAAAAATAGAATGTGTTGAAACATTTACATGTAGTTTGATCTCCCTGCATCAGTTACAACTTACGTGTTTTGTTTCTCCAAGTGCAGTGTTCTTGAACGTTGCATATACTTCTTGTGGTACTGCTGGCATTGGCCGTGCGTGCGGCCAGATGCTTTACACTTTGAAATGGTAGCTTCGCCTAACGTGGCTTGACTTTCCGAATTGTGGACAGGCATTCTTTCAAGCCAACACGGTTTGTCACTTCGTTTGACTATTTTGCTCTCTGACAGGAAAGAAAGAGTTGACTTCTTAGCAGCCTCCTCACCTCACCCTGTACTATTTGCCTCAGGTTTTGTGATACTTTTAATGGAATACACGTTAACAGGTAAACACCGATTCAAGAGTGTTGACTAGCACACATTTCAAAAGCATTTTTTTACAATGGAATACGAAAGCAGGCTGGCCAGTGAGGGGACACCGAATTTCCAAGAGGAAATGGAAACATGGGACTAGGGCCTGAGAGGGTGTCCTCATAATCATAACCTGAGACTGAGACCCTGCCCCCTTCATAAGCTCTTTCTCTGATTTAATTCTCGAAGGTTCTAGAATCCAAGAGAGTTTCTTGAACTAGCTCCCTTCATGCCAGGAGGAGACCTTTCTAAGTTATAGGAGACCTTTCTAAGTTATTATTGTGAGAATTGAACCCCACCGAATCTCCTTTTCACTTCCATGAGAATTCTGCATGGTGGAGAGACAAAAAGTGGTTCCTGTTTTGCTCAGCTGATTTTGAACCGTGCCCTTGAAATCCCTGTTGGTAACTAGAGCTGAGATGTCAGAGAGGAAACATAATGGATGTGAGATCCAGCGATGTATTTTGAATTTTCACTCCCTTCCAGACTCTTCCTATTTTTAATCTTTTCACCTCAAAACTAGACATATGGAAGGCTTTCAAGGCAAGCTGGAAGGCACGTTGTACCAATTCTACCTTGTGCTATACCTAAAAGATCTCCAGAAGTGGAGGCTTCTGTAGCCTTCTGGACATCTTTTCATTGTCCGTTTGTTTAAAGTTGATGCTGCTGCTGGACACATTCACATGTTCGAAAGGAGCGTTCTGAGTATTTAAAAGTTAGGCTAAGAAACGTGTTACGGCAACGTCTTGAAATAATTTTCAAATTAACTGGATTGCTCTGTATCTTAGAGAGAAATTTGTAACGTCAGGTCCACCTAGCCCCTTTACGTATGATTTTGGACTCTGACGCTTTTCAGTGTCTCTAAAGGAAAAGTGTGGAAAGAAGTGCAAAAATGAGGGGACATTGTTGGAAAACCCTAGCATTGACTCCCATGCATGTTTTCACGCCCAGCCTTTCCCTCCCAACAGCCCCAAAGGCGAGAGATTGAGAGCTGAGGGGTTAGTTTGGAAATCGGGTCCAAATTTACTGAAATGCAAAAGTTGAGGAGGCCAGTGATGGAACTCAGTGTAAATTCCAAGATGGCGTTCAGAGTCCACAGGGTTCAAGTGACTTGAGTCAGAGACGTTACATGGCATTGACGTACCTATCCATTTTGTGCTCGAGAGCCTGTCAGAAAGCATTCGCTATCGAAAACCACCTTCCATTGTTGTTAAACTCCTGATTGCTGCTCTTAAGAATATATATGTGTGTATTCATGGGGACATTTTTACTCAATATTTATGTGATTTGCTTACTGTTCATGTGCTGAGTGGGCTCCTTTGTGCTTCAGACAAAAATAAATGAGATTTTGTGTTTACATTTTTGTTGTTGTTGTGAGTTATATCATTCTGACAATGCTTTTCTCCTTTTAACATGCATTTTTGAAAACAGAATATTTAGCTAGGGACCAACATGTATCTTCCATTTTACGAGAGGTAATATACATAACTTTTAAAAATTAAGCGATAATGTCAGCCCTTTAGAATCAGATTGTGATCGCTTCTGATTGCAGCATAGTTAAATTTCCTGTTTTCAGAAGTCACAACCCAGAGTCAGAAATGCACTGGAATTTCAAGAATTGGTTCATACCGAACATATGTGCATGTGGATTTAAAACAAAAGTCTCGGGGCGCCTGGGTGGCTTAGTCGGTTAAGCGTCCGACTTTCGCTTAGGTCCTGATCTCGCGGTTCGTGGGTTCGAGCCCCGCGTCGGGCCCTGTGCTGACTGCCTGCTCAGAGCCTGGAGCCTGTTTCAGTCTGTGACTCCCTCTCTCTCTGACCCTCCCCCGCTCATGCTGTCTCTCTCTCTCTCCTAGAAATAAATAAAAAACATTTAAAAATTTAAAAAATAATAATAAAAAAAATAATAAAACAAAAGTCTCACAAAGTAATCCTCTCCCTATCTGTGATGCCCTGGGATATTTCCTGAGCTATTACTCTGTTTATTCTTTTCTGTTCTGTTCTATTCTATTTTATTCTGTTTAATTTTTTTTTTAAGCTGAGAGTGACTTCGCAGATCGGTTTCTTGGTCCTGGTGAGCTGTCAGCTGCAGTGTGGAAACGGAAGTTCTAGTGTCTTTTGATCTGTTTACTGTAAGTCTCCATGACTCCATTCTGGGATTGGAGCCTGACCTAAGTACCTGCCTTAGAATAGTGAGGATTAAATAGAATAATACATGGCCAGCACCCAGGAGAACATCTGAGGCCAAGTGAGTTCTCACCATGTGGTAGTTGTTATTTTTAAACCGAATACACACTGAACAGAAATAAAAATAATTTAAACTGTATTTTTATCAGCTTGTTTTTTAGAATCTAAATCAAGTGAAGTTAAGGATCTCTCTGCGCATAAAAATATTCTGTGAGGATTAAATCTGATTTTTCCCCCTGGTGCTGTGATGTTCATGTTTTTCTTTATAACACAAAGTATAAGAAAGTGGTAGAAGATTTGGTGTCTAAATGCACCCTCAATGGTCTGAGCAACCCGCCAATCATCTTTTCTCCCTCCTGAAGAATAACTGAGTCAAAATAGCCAGAAGAGAATTCTCAGGTGCGTCATCTGGCAATAATGTGTACCTAATTTGCAACTGTGGGTTCTGTAATAGTTAATTGACAGATATGTGCAAATTATTGCATGGTACTAAACTCGGGATTTCAATAAAACAAGGTCTAGATATAAAAACACTTGCAAGTAGCAGAATAGAGCCTGTAGTGGGGTGTTTTAATGTTTTTTGTTTTTTTTTTTTGAGAGAGAGAGAGATAGCGTGAGCAGGGGAGGGTCAGAGAAGAGAGGGAGACACAGAATCTGAAACAGGCTCCAGGCTCTGAGCTGGCAGTCAGCACAGAGCCCGACGTGGGGCTCGAACCAAGGAACCGTGAGGTCACGACCTGAGCCGAAGTCAGACGCTTAACTGACTGAGCCACCCAGGCGCCTAGGATGTTTTAATCTGTTAAAGGAACAGGACCTGTAAGTATTGTTACCAACAGGAGCAGGTTTTGAGTTCTCGGTTTTTTTAAATCTTGTTTTAAAATGAGATAAAAAAAAATTAAAATAAAATGGAAAAAGGGAAGTAGTCTCTGTTCTTTAAAGTGAAAGAACATTAAAGTGTAAATTAATTTCTTTTAAGAATTCAGACTCACCCCCTTTTACCTACCATCAAGCCCGCCCACACCATCATTGTAAAATGACATGAAATTTGTTAACCTTCTTGGGTTTTTCATGCTTCTGTACGAGTTGAATCTATATTTTGAGGTGGGAAGAGAGATAGGTCGCTAAAAAAATGAATTCTCCAGAGGAAAGACTTTAGTGGGAAATCTTTCAGTAGTAACTCAGAAAAAAAAAGACATTAAAAAAAAAGATTTTATTTTTAAGTGATCTCTACACCCAATGTGGGGTTCAAACTTACAACCCTGAGATCAAGAATTGCATGCTCTACTGAGTCAGCCAGTCACTTCCCAAATAAAACATTTTTGCCTATACATAAAAAGTGATAAAAGAAAATATGAGCAGATGGAATGGAGTTTCATAGGCCACTTGAGAGCCCTCCTTAGTTGCCCAGCCCCACAGGGAATTAAGCAAACTTCGTTCCCCATCTGTAGAAAGGGAGCCCAAAGTCCTAGCAGTAAAATCTAACATAACAAGAAATAAAGTCCCTAGAAAAATTATCATTCAGTCTGATGACAAATGGCTCTCATACTTGCTTGAAAACTGAGACTTGTAGCTTCACTGTGAAGTTAATTTTTTTAATGCTTATTTATTTTGAGAGAGAGAGAGAATAAGCTCACATGCAAGCGAGCAGGGGAGGGGCAGAGAGAAAGGGAGAGAGGGAATCCCAAGCAGGCTCCATGCTGTCAGTGCAAAGCCCTTTGTGGGCTCTGTCTCACGAACTGTGAGATGATGACTTGAGCTGAGATCAAGAGGCAGTCACTTAACCAACTGAGCCACCCAGGTGCCCCCACTGTGAAGTTAATTTCTGTCCCAATCCTGGACCGTCTCCAAATCAGACTTCTGTTTTTCCTTCTGTCAAACAAAGCCACCACTCCGAAGTGAATAATCTGGGGAAGAGTTTTACTCTCGTTTTTTAACTTCTAAATTTGCTTCTCAGAGCATCGGAGAGACTTTAAGCGGCTTTGGTGGGGTTTGGTTGTTTTTGTTTTTTGTTTTCCATGTTCCCGCACAAGTTGACTCCATTGCCACCTGCGTTATTGGGAACAATGCAGGGATGGCTTTGTGCTTGGCAAGCACCTTGAAAATCTCGACTGAGGAAATGGGAGGCTTTTTGTTATTTCACAGGAGATATTAAGAGCCTCAGAAAAAGCAGTGCGTACACTTCTTTCAATTCATGAATGTTTGTCTCCTGGCAGAATGACGAAAGATGAACCAGACTTGGCCAAGTCCTTATTTTGGATTAGTGGATATAAGTGCCATGGACCCCTCCAGCATCATCAACATGTCCCGGCACGAGGCAGCAGCAGGCTAGGCGTCCAGGAAAACCCCACGGCCGTGGTTGCATCGTGCTGGTGTAAAAGAGGAGCTGCGGACCTGAGGGGGGTTTGTGGTGGTTGTCGTGTGAAGCTCGGTGACAGAGTTTTTTGATGTCCAGGACAACTGTGCCATCTCTTGCAAGTGGGTTATTTATTCTAACACGTGGGCAGAGAAAACCCATTCTGGTAGAGACTTGTACAAAATCTTCATGTTCCTTATAAAATTGCTGCCCAGATAAAATAATAAAGAAGTCAACATAAATGCATATAAGGTCTTCATTAAACATGGTTTGTGATACTGGAGACCATTTAACGTGGTGCGATTGCTTCTTTTTTAAATGTTTATTTATTTTGGGGGAGAGAGTGTGTATGAAAGGGGGAAGGGCAGAGAGAGAGAGAGAGAGAGATTGAGGACCTGAAGCGGGCTCTGTGCTGTCAGCATCAATGACAGCCTAGTAAGTAATATTTAATTTACTCATCATGAAAGTTGGTAAGTTTTAAACCATATTCATTCAAGTGATATTTTCTTAAAGGCACATGAGATACTAGGCATGGCCCAGTTTCAAGAGTTAAAAATAATGTTCAGGGGTGCCTGGGTGGCTCAGGCAATTGAGCATCTGATTCTTGATTTTGGGTCAGGTCTTGATCCCAGGGTCATGGGATTGAGCCCCACATCAAGTTCCATGCTGAGCGTGGAACCTGCTTAAGATTCTCTCTCTCTCTCTCTCTCTCTCTCTCTCTGTTTCCTTCTGCCCCTCTTTTTCTTGTGCATTCTCTCTCTCTAAAATAATAAAAAATAAAAATAAAAACAACATTCATCTCTTGGAGGAATTTGATCGGGAATGGTAGGTGAGAGAACTGGGTAGAGAAATCAATATATGAAGTTCATGACACATGTATAGAGTGTTTAGAGGGGAAGGCTGGGGTGTGGGGGGTACACGGTGGGCAAGGAAAACAGAGGCAAAGGCTAGTGGTGAAAGTGTCACAGAGGAAGTGATACCTGAGCTGTGAAGAAGAGTAGGAATTTCTTTTCCGTGCGAAGGTTCTCGAAAGGCTCTTCCAAAAGCAGCGCTCAGCGTGAGCAACAGCAGTTCTCATAAAGCACGTGACTTCTGAAAAAAGTCAGCTAAGATTGAGGTGGACTAACCCAGTGACCATAAGGGTCACCAGGGCTGTTGATTCCAGATGAAGGTTTCCAGGCCCTTCTTCCTAGAGACTGACTCAGTAGGTCTGGACTGGGGCTTCCGAACCGAATTATGAACGAATAAGTTCCTCAGTGAGGTTGGGGGTGGTGTGTATGGGAGAGGGCCGTCCTGGCGAAGACAAGGGCCCGGTGTGGCCGGAGGTATGAGTAGCAAAGGGAGAAGATGTGTCACTCACTGAGTGCGGAGCTATGAGCTTCATGTGCAACAAGGGTCTGTTACCTGCTCCCCGGGGAAACATGTCGTTACCCAGCTACCGGGAAGCTGTCACCAGGACCCACCTGACGGGTGGGTCCTGCCCATAAACACACAGGGGCCAAATTTTCCTGAGTCTGGGACTCAAGACACAGGGGCTCCTGCAGAGGTGAGGTCCTAGTCCAAGTGGAGCCGCAGGGCTGCTGTGGCTCCCTACTGCCCTGCCACTTTGTGAGCAGCCTCAATATCCGCTGGTGGCTTCAGCCTCTGCCAGCTTTGTTCTGTCCCTTGCAAATCAAAGATCCCCCCCCACCCACCCCAAAGCCCTCTAATCTTTCCCCTGCGCCACGTGGCTAAATTCCTTAGTAACAGGTTATACACTGTGAAGCAGCCATTTTCTTCTTAAATAAAGGAATGAATGATACAGAAACCACAGGCAT